CTGCAACGGCATTGCGGGTGGTTGGTAAGACGCAACGGTGGTGCCTGTGGCGTACGACGACGACGTCATGTCGTGGAGCTTCTGTGTCTCGTCGCTCTCCTCGTCATCGCGCAGCAGCGCCTCCAGCCCTCCACGCCGCGGCTCGCGCAGCTCCTGCCAGTGACGGTCCTCCGCGTACCACACAACGACGCCGTACACAGTGACCGCAAGCAGCACAGCGGTCAGCAGCAGCACGATAGCCGCGTACGCTCTCGCACCGCCGTCGCTCGGCGCAAGATGGTTCGCCGCGCTGACCACGCACAGCACCGCAAGGAGCACAAAGCTCGCCGTGTGCATCACCGTCAGGAAGGCCGAGCGCATCATGTTCGTGAAGGCAACCACGCCCGCGCCCGCAAACAGCACGGTCGCCATGCAGAAGTACTGGACGTCGCAGCCTCCCACGGGCGGGTGCACAGCCGCAATCAGGCCCACCACACACAGCACCGACAGCTGGAACACGCACCAGTACACGTGGCTGCCCCTCATGTTCGTCAGCATGCCGCCGTACATCCGCTGCTGCGCCGCGGGGTGCCAATACCCGACGGGGTACAGCAGGTGCTCGTGCAGCGGCTTCCTCGAAAACTGCCAGTACCTCTCGAAGCTCGCGCCCACGTGGCGGGCAATCAAGTAGCACACGCCGGCAGGGAACGCCACTCCGTACAGCACGCCAACAACACCAATCACGCGGTGCTGCACGCGGGCGTCGGGCATCGCAAGTGCGAGCACCGAGCCAAAGAAGATGCCGAGGTGCATCGCGTGCGCCACGACGTACGTCAGGCTCGGGAAGCGCATCGCAGCCCACGCACTCGCAGCGTCCACGCCGCGCCAGCGCTGGAAGGCCGCCGTCACACCGCAGTGCACGCACCCGAACACAACGGCGAGCAGCGCGTTGCCCACCACCATCCACAGCGGGTCAAGAGCAGCGAACACCGACAGGAAGTACGGCAGCGCAACGGTGCTCGCACGCTCCTGCGCCGAGGCGCATGACATCCTCGCAAACACGCCGAGCGCCTGCATCTCAAGGATGGAGCCCAACCCGCCGGTCACCACCACGGCAACAGCCGCCGCACCCGCAACAACGCCGGTGATCGCCGAGAGGGCGCTGGCAGCGGCGGGCAGCGTGTCAGACCTGATCGTCAAGGAACCAAGCAGCACACCCTTGCAGCCGCCAAACACCGCCACAGCGTCGCACCGAATGACTATCGTCTCGTCGGCAGCAATGAAGTAACCGCGGTGCACGGGCACAGCCAGCTCCAGGACGGTGAAAGGATTCGTCGCGTTGCGCACCCACGTCGCGTTGCTCAGCATCGCTCCCCACGGACCACCGAACCCACTCGGCTGCGCCATCAACACCGGCACGAAGCTCAGGTGCGTGCCGAGCCGCGGGTCGCGTGCCCAACGAAACGGCGGCGGCAGCGCCACCATCAGCCGCGTCGGGACGGCGCTCCCACCGCCGCGGATCTCGTTCTGCGTCAGGCTCCCTCCAGCCGCCGTCGTCGTCACGGCGAGCGTCGGGCACGCCACGTCGCTCCACCACAGCGTGCTGCTCACCGACGCCGTCGGCGTCCGCGTGGGCGGCAGCGCCACCGTCTCCGTCACCTGCAGTGTCTCCGTCGGCACGTACTGCAGCGGACTGTATTGCGTCGCGCTCAGACTCGGTCTTGGTGTCGCCGTGTGGCCCAGCGGCGGCATGCCAGGCGTGCGGTTGCACCCGTCCACATGCGGCAGGTACACCGGCAGGCAGTCGCGCCCGTACCCGCCCTCAGCACAGCGGCAGCGACACGACGCAGACATAGCCCTCGTCGCAGCAGCAAAGCAGCGCACGTCGGCGTCGCACACGCCACACGCCACAGGACGGAATTCCCCGATGATGCCGGCGGACCTGTAGTCGAACGGCCGCAGCGCCTGCCCGTTGAGCGTCAGGCACCCCACGACGAACCTTCGGCCGGCGCCCACGAGCGCAACGGTGCCGTCCATCACGACAAGCCCGCTGCCAGCGTTCCCGTGGAGCGTCAGCGTGCTCTGCACGAGTTCCGCACTGCGCGGGTACGACGGCACCGACAGGAGCCTGCCGCTGATGCTGTTGCCGCGCACCGACAGCCACGACCTGGACGCAAACGACGCCGACCCCCGCAGCTCCAGCAGCGCGCCATAGGTCAGCGCACCGGCGTTGTCGCTCACTACGACGGCGGACGCGTTGGCCTCCACCCCGCTGTCAAACATCAGCCCATGCGCGGCGTACACCTGGCTCCCCGACACGCGCAGCACAGCGCCCCACGACGCAACCACACGCGCACTCGCGTACAACGCATATTCGCCACCGAACACAGCCGCGTCCAGCGCGACACCGCCACCGACAAGCTCCAGCACCGCGCCGTCCACCACCACCGTCCGCCCACCAGTCATCACCGTCACGAGAGCAACGCCGGACACAACCAGCACGGACCGCACTAGCCGCAGGCCCGACAGCACCAGCACCGGTGCGTACGGCGAGGACTGCGAGCCGGGAAGATACACAAGCGGCGTCGACCTCGCGGCAACCAGCAGGGAGTCCGTCACCGTCAGCACAGACCCCGCGGGGAACGTGCCGGTCAGAACAAGCGCACCGTTCAACGCCTCCACATCGCACACGGACAGCTCCACCGGCCCGCCCTCGTCGCTCCCCGCCGCCACCGCACCGCGCAGCGCTCCTCCGCCCATCACGTACAGCACGGCGCCGTTCAGAAGCGACACGTTCTGCACAACGATCCGCACGCCATCCCGCGCCATCCACGGCACGTAGAGCACCGGACTCACGCCGTCCAGCACAACGCGGCGCAGCGTCACCTCGCTCGCGCCGGCAGAAACAACGAACACCGACTGCACCGTCACGCCCTCGCGGAAGAACACACTCGACGCGGTGCCCACAGCGGGCGGCAGTGCGAGAGCTCCCACAGGCACGCACGCCTCGCCGTACCCACCGCTGCCGCACACGCACACGCACACACCGTTCCTCATGCTCGCAGACGCCGTCCCAGGCGCGTAGCAGTGCGTGTCCCTGTCGCAGGCGTCGCACCCAACAACGTCGATGCTCCCAGCGTCGCCAAAACCAGCCGCTGCGTATTCCTCCGCCGTCGACAGGACACGGC